CCAACTCATAGATGGTACCCAGCAGCCAAGAATGAGAAATGGGGCCCAACCTTCCGTGGCCACAGCTGGCTCCATTTGTAAAACTGGCAGAGAGACTTATGGAACAGGTTTCACTGTTTTGAGGGTGGTAAATTTTTTCCACTACAGAAAACCAAACTGTTCATAAACTAGTTACCTGAACATAGTTTGCTTTCTTGTCATTTAAAAGATAACTCAACCAGTGTTTCTCACCAAATTTTTTTTTAACTGAGACATCATTGTTTGAGTCTCATCTTCAGGAGCACCCTATCTTGTTATTGCAATGAAATCACAAAGAATCAGCAAACCCCTTGTTATAGGAAATGGCATCTAGGTGGCATATGAACTATTAAAATCCTGCAGATTTCTCTATTTTAACCACTAATGCCAACCTCCTTTTCCTTTAGACTTCTTATAACAACTACTGACAGGTAGTAAAACTGGCTACTTTGAGTTTTTTCTCATTCATCAGCCCCAGATGGTAAGGGTCAGTATGACCCGAAATTATAAAGTAACTCAAGAAGTAAGCACTGGGAAGTAAAAAGAAGAGGCATGAACTCTTAGGCTTATTGATTAACTAGGTAATCAGCGTTTAAATAACCTAAAATTAGTTAGGTCTGTGGCAAGTATGACCTGGCCCCAGGGAACACAGGAAGGGTGAGTGTCAACATCAATTTTAATTCTGCCTTAGTTATTTTTGGAAATGAAATTGGGAAACTTTTTTAAAAGTGGAAACCTAAAATACATCACTGAACTAACATTTTAAATACCATTTTCTAGGTAATTTTGTAATTTTCCACAAAATGATATATATAGTCTGTTTTCCTAAGTGAAATAATTCCATGTTTTCTCTTGAGAACATGAAATCCCTGAGGAATGATTGTTCCATACCACATTAAGAGCATTACTGTGTTAACTATGTTTACCGTCTTGTCTCTTTTTTGCCAGATTTTTACTTTCACCTTATTTTGTCCACCAAACACTTGTGCACCAGGAGACATGTATTTGATTTGTTTCTGTAAAGATCTGATGCTCTCATTCTGTGTTTTATATGCCTAGAAAGACTTAATAAACAGTGAGTGTTAAAGCACTCTTTTCCTAATATGCCTAAGAATTACCCAGAGAGCTTGGTATAAAACACAGCTCCCCCAGAGATTCTGATTCAGTAGGGCCAGGATTGGACCTGAGAATTTTCATTTTAGCAAGTTTCCAAAGTGATGCTCTGACTGTTGTACCAGGACCACTGGTGTAAAGTATATAGAATTCAAGAAGCAACAGATGCTATGAACTCCAGTAACATGTTCAAGATTATACTTACCTTTGATTTCATGTACATATCCACATCTTACAAATACGGAATAGTGTCTTCTCTGCTGCTTTTACCAAGTTTCTGTGGATTCCTTTAGTTTGTCATAAGGAACATAGTTTTTAAAATGTGGTTTTTAAAATGTAATGGAAACCGTTGCTCCTTTTTAATTTTCATTTTTATCTCTCTCTTACACACACAGCACACACAAACACATACATGGACATACACACACACAGCTCCCCTTTCCCAACATGTCCAGAACTTGAGGATAACAGAAACTTGGGCATATGATTAGCCATGGCAAATCCAATTACTTAATTGAATATCATTATTGAAAGATTTATGAATCTTTTATATAAATAACAGCGGAATAAAAGCAAATTAAATAATACTAGTCAGCAAAGAAAAAAGTGGTGATGGGTCATTTTGCAAAGATTCTCTTTCTGTATTAAAATCTAGATTTGTATATTTCAGGCAGTAAGAAAGAGTAAATCCATTGCTAACTTTCAAGCATCACATTATTGACTTTTAAAAATAATTTTCTCTTCTTTTTTCCCTGAAGATAAGTCCCATAGACTCAGCATGGTCTAAAATGTATAAAACTACCTTGTCAAGTACTGTTATTATCTCTGTCATGGGTTTTCTTGTTTGCAGAAGTTTTTTAGGTTAAATTCTATCCTGCATGCAAATTTTTCTAAAAGGAGTTTTTTATTCTAGTTCTAAAAAAGGGTGAGTGCCCTTCTCAGCATATATTCCCAGCATTCTTAGGGTAAATTATTTTTGACTTGTGTCCCTATGTGACATTCCTAATAAAAAAATTCTGAATTTCAAGAGTTTCAAGTGACATAGTTTTAGACTAACTTTCTAAATAACTAACATGATCTAAAATTTAGCAGTTCTCAAGCCACTTTTACAATATTGTCTCTTTGATCCTCATGAATACATTAGAACTCCACAAATTGAGAAATATTTATTTTTTTCTCATCAAGTTAACAAATTTATTCCTTATACATGTGTTGAATGGATACTATGGGGCAAGTGTTTCATTAAATGCTGGAAATGAGATGAACAAAATATAGTGCCTGACTTCCTGAATTTCAGGATGTAGAAGAAAACAAAGAATTACAGTCACCATGTCAATTGCTGAAATAAGCCTCACACAGAGGGTGTCAGAAGGGATAGGACCACAGAGGAAGGGCACCTAACTTGTTAAAGCTAATTTGGAGGGGGAGAAGTGAAGGCTCTCGAGGTGCATGCATCTCACCAAACATTGTGAAGAAGTTGGCCAGATAGAAGGGGAAACATATATTCCAGTCTCTATGTGCCATCATACAATGTGTTCCTTTCTTACTGTCTTTTACTGTTATTCTGTATTCCTAAGAGGCATTTGTGGAATATCCCACCAAACATGATTTCTCAGTTTTAATTAACTCTTTTTCCCACTTTATCCTTAGTGAGGGAAAAAATTGTCTGATTCTTTATCCCTCAAGGAGTTCTTTCCTTTTCAGACCTTTCCTTTCACTAAATAGAAGTTGAATTTCTTCTTACACTCTTTGATGTTAATGCTTTGCCTCTATGGTGTTCCATGTAGATACTTCAGTAGCTTTTAGTTAATAATTCTCCGGTGCTAGAAGTTTGATCTTTCAGCAAGTAGTTATTACCAAACTGGGTTCTTCTAAGAACTCAACATTGCACCATTAATATGTAGACGCCTCTTATTTTAAATTCTCCTTCCTATTCTTAACATTAAATATTCTCAATTAATGGCAATTAAAGAATATCAAGGCACAAGATTTGCAGTAAACAATGCATTTGATAGGTTTTGCCTATCATTTAGTGTGCTTTTCACAAGCACTGACGTCGACAAGCATTTCAGTAGTTGCATGGTCTCTTTCAGCCTCTGTGGGGCAACAAAACACAGGAATGAGCTCTCAACCTTCAAAAGGAAAGCTCAGACAAATAGTATCACTAAACTGCAGTCTACATCAGCTTTTCAACCTGTACTTTGTATCATCCTCAGTTCAGTAAGGTGTGGAGAAAAAAATCAATTCTCCTTTCCATGTTTGTCACAGTTTAAAATTATATTGTTTGTTTAGAACATTAATAACGATAGTTCAGTAGTGCATGAATATAATTTATAAACTCAAAAATATACATACGTTGGGTGTATATGCCCAAAATTATTCTACAGACAGGAAGACATGATCCAGTTTGATAATTACGGATCTAATCACAAGCATCTTAAAGACAAATTACAAATTACATAAAAGGGACTTTTAAAATCTCTGTTAATGTTCTTTAAAAGTCTCTGCAAGGCAGTCTTGCATAATAACAGGTCAATTCCTTGGGACACAACTGCCTGCTCCTCAACTCTATGACAGTTAGGCTCTGATGGCTAGTAGAAATTTCTTTTATCTCAGTGGAGAGCTGGAAACAAAGAGCTAAAATAATTAGAAGCTAAGAGTAATTCTATAGGACCCCTGATTGTAACTCTTGCATCCAGTCCCTATAAGTAAATTCAGACTTCTTGCTTCCTTTGCAAAATGTAGTGTTTTTAGTGATAATAATAAACAAGTTTAAAAAAAAAAAAACAACTTTTATTTTCATAAACAAATCTTGTTCATTTTAGTCAGGTCAGTCTCTTCAATTTAATCCGACAACATTTTCCAAGAGCCAATAATTCTTTAAAAATAAAAAGCCAGTGTTTTTGTTATGAAAATATCAGTGATGTTTTAAATGAAAACAGTATTAAACTGTTTCTGTCATTTTCATAAGTTGAAATTACATTTTAACTGAAAATATATCATTCGAGTAATTTATTAACATTATATGGCTTTATCAGTATTTGTACTGAATTGAGCACATCTCAGGGACAATAATAAATGCTTTGTACCTGTTTTCTATCTCGTTTCCCACTACAAATTCCCAAACAACAACCCATTAGGACATTAGAACATTGGGAGAATATGTACACTTATTTTTATATTCTCATTCTTAACATTAAATACTCTCAATTAATGGTATCTTGAGAATATCAAGGCACATTTGTGGAATTTAGAGTTTTAGACAAAAGATAGTTAACATTTTTTTGTTGTTGTCAGAAACCTGTAGGAAACTAGCTAATGTGTCTGTTTTCCCTTAATGTAGTAGAGAAAAAATATTACTCTTGTAATTTGATATACTGTGGGAAAGTAAGTCGTGATTTAGTGATGGAGAAAGTGTGGAACTTCAGTTTATGTGTGTATTACTCCCACAACCCAGAAGTTCCTTTTTATATCTAATTGCTAACATTATTGCATATTATCTACATTTTTTTCCTTTGTCATTTTTCTCCTAAAAAAGAAAATCCCAATCCCCTTAAAAGACACTGGTGATTTGAGGTTGCTCTTTAATCAAGATATGGTTGAACTTGGCAGGACACAAAATGTTCTAAAATGCTGGAATTGCTGATTCATTTGCCAAATTACAAAATAATTCTATTTCCTACCAGCAAATTAGCACTGTGAGAGATTTCCAAGTCCTAGTAGTGAGCTATAGGCTTGCATTATATCATGCCTAGGATGCCTACTTAAGCCTTTAGTAAGCTATCAAAATAGGGCACTGTGCTACATGAAAATCAATTTGGTTCCTCTCTTCTGATAAGTAACAGAATGCTTTATATTAAAAACGATTGCTTTCTATTAAACTGTAAGACATGAAGTTGTTTTGAAACATGACATTTGTGTAGTAACTTTGAAATCTTTGATTTCAAATTGCAGCTGATGTTCTGAGCGAAGAAGCAATACTGAAATGGTATAAGGAAGCACACGTTGCTAAAGGCAAAAGTGTTTTTCTTGACCAGATGAAGAAATTTGTTGAGTGGTTACAAAATGCAGAAGAAGGTATGATTCTGTTTAAAAATTTTGATGACCTTTAAACACTGTCTCATTATATGTCAAAATATTTACCACAGATTTTACTTGCTTTCCTAAAACTAAAATTCTTGAGTTATCTTTTGTATCAAACATTTTGCCGACATCTTAGCTTTCCTTTCTGAAATCACGGCAATAAAAATCTCTACATGTGGCCGGGCGCGGTGGCTCAAGCCTGTAATCCCAGCACTTTGGGAGGCCGAGACGGGAGGATCACGAGGTCAGGAGATCAAGACCATCCTGGCTAACACGGTGAAACCCCGTCTCTACTAAAAAATACAAAAAACTAGCCGGGCGAGGTGGCGGGCGCCTGTAGTCCCAGCTTCTCGGGAGGCTGAGGCAGGAGAATGGCGTAAACTTGGGCGGCGGAGCTTGCAGTGAGCTGAGATCCGGCCACTGCACTCCAGCCCGGGCGACAGAGCGAGACTCCGTCTCAAAACAAACAAACAAACAAACAAAAAAACTCTACATGTAAAAACAAAGAACGAAATCAAGTGCTTAAATTATCCACTCTGATGGAGGACAGTAAAGAAGAAATGATCAGTAGATGTGAAAGGAGAAAAATACATTTAGCTTAATCACACATTATGGAATTCTATAGATTTTTATGACACCTTTACCAATTAACTGGCAATTTTAAATAATGGAAATGTAAGATGGAAGGATAATAATGGATAAGAGTGAATTCAGGCCAGGTGTGGTGGCTCACACCTGTAATCCCAGTGCTTTGGGAAGCTGAGGAGGGCGGATCACCTGAGGTCAGGAGTTCGAGAGCAGCCTGGCCAACATAATGAAACCCTGTCTCTATTAAAAATA